GTGCACGATTAGGAAAAGTGCAGCATCAGCATCGTTATCGCTCCACGTCGCGTCAATCTCCGCGCCTCATTGTCGATAGATTAAGGCAGATTAGTCGGACCTACTTTCGGATTACGCCGCCGTCCCTCTGTTATGGAGCCCGAGATAGCATCGAAAGATAGTCGTGCAAACACTGCATCAATTATCGACGACATATCGGCGAATTTGTAATCGATTTTCCCTCGGCAGGATCGCTCGATACGAGATGCTCGGGAGAGGATAGAATCTAGCATTCGCGAATCAAACTACGCGAGTGCGATGTAAGGTAACCGATGAATCGCATTTCGATTAATTCTCCTGCGCTCCTAAAGTATCATTTGAATATATCCTACCTTTCGAATCGCTCCAATCTGCAAATTTTACAAATTGCACGCTTATGAATATATGATGATAAATAAATCAATCAATAAATTAGCTTTTATACGAGCTTCCGAGAGATTATAATTTCTCTTGTAGCACGTAATTCTCTCTTGATAAAATACGATAGAATCCTCAGAAAAAATTAAATAAAATAAATGATAGATAAAATAAATAGAATATAAAGAATTTTAATAAAATTAATTAAATATAAATATAAAGAATTGATAAAATATAAAATTAAATAAAAGGTAAAATAAAAAATTATATATAAAATTAAATAAAAGATAAAATAAAAAATTAAATGAAAGATAAAATAAAAAATTAAATAAAATAAATAATTAGAAAAATAAATTCTCTCGCGAAAAAGGAGTAAATAGATTTATCTAAACCGATGAGGACGTAACGAGCGACGATTGCGGTATGTGTAGCGGGACACTCTTTATAAACGAGGGAATAAACGAGCGTCCGTTCGCGCCGCGAACGCGAGTACTCTATCTGCGAGTAACGCCAAGACGAGTAACATTCGAGGCGTTGAAAGATGACGGCTCGGTAGCCGGGGCTTTAATAATAAATATACGGGCCATGTAGCCGCGGGGGCTCCCCCGATCTTGGCCACCATGACGCGATCGTGCGGCGCGCTCTACAAAGTTGCTTCTCTCGGTTGCGCTCTACAAAATTGCTCGCTCGTACCATCCTCGCGATGCGGGATTATGAATATATATGTATCGCGAGAGAGTGTAGCGCGATTCTCTCGACCTTTCCAGATGCCCGATTATCGAATACAAGATTATTTGATTGTACGATACATTTATTCAGATATCGCTCCATGATCTCCAAGTGTTTGAGATTAATCGAGAAATTTTCGGAATTTTCAATTGAATCGAGAATAATAATGATTTCGATGATTTATTGCTACAAGTATTTAATATTTGCAATTTAAAATATATTCATAATCTTAAATATTGTAAAGATTCTTCAATAATATTCTTCAAACATTTATAAAATAAATTAAATGAAATAATAAGAGGCCATGATTACCATTTATAAAATAATAATTTATAATTATCTTTTGTGCTGAAGAATTTTTCTTTTTATTTTCTCTCTCTTTCTCGATATCATTATCCATCAAATAATTTACATAGATTTTCAATGCTTTTAAAAAATTTATAAATTATAAAAGATTGTAACTTGATATTTAATTGTGTTACTTTAGGAATTAAAGTTATCAATCGGAAAATTTTGAGGACTGAAAATACATGTAAAAATCCAGAATTTTTAATTAATTGTATCAGTTAATTTCCCTTATATTTTGCGAGCACAAGAAAATTTCCGAATAATTTAGCGTGCAAATTCTACGAGGTTAATTTATTTAATTATTATTTAATTTATTTATTTAAATAAATCGCACGTAAGAGTTTAAATCTTAATCGGCCGATATAAATTTACGATATCGTGGATCAGAAAAAATTGATGAAATATATTCGGGAAAATTTATACGATTCCCCCTTTATAAGATATCAAACTTATCGCGTCCCGATTCCTTCGACAGTTTCGTTAACGATCGATAACAATAAAGACGATACGATAGACTCGACCCGATTGCGAGCTTGTTTATTGCTCTATGTTGCGATTGAAAAATGATCGTTCCTTGCGCCTTGAAGGTGCAATCTCCACGAAGAAAAAGAACGAGAGAAGGAGAAAGATATTAATTTCGCCGTACCCTAATTGCATTATATCTCATGCCTCGCCTTCGCGCTCAGAATCGCGAAAAATACAAACGGCAATTGGCAACGGGAATCGCAAATTTATCGAATTTCCCCGCATGATCCAGGCTATCCTCTTCTAAATCATGGACTTATGTGACTAGGAATATAAATTATAGTGAGATATATCTTGAAAAATCAGAGTGAACTAGCAATACAGATGATAGAAAAAACACAACAGCCAAGGTATATCAAAGCTTTCAGATTCGAAAATCTTAAATATTAAACTTAATTATTTAATTCTGTAAAAAGATCTATTGAAAAAAACATCACACTTGTAAAAAAACAAATGTGTAAAAAATATCTTGTCTGTTTAACAGACATCATATTAATAAAAAGCAAGTGTATAAAAAATATTTTGTCTGTGTAACAGACATCACATTTTAAAAAACAAGTATATAAAAATTATATTGTCTGTATAACAGACATCATATTAGTAAAAAGCAAATAATATTTATAATATTTATAAATAATTATATTATAAATTTATAAATAATTTATTAAAATAATATAATATGTATAACAAATATTTTGTCTGTGTAACAGACATCACATTTTCAAAAACAAGTATATAAAAATTATATTGTCTGTATAACAGACATCATATTAGTAAAAAGCAAATGTATAAAAAATATTTTGTCTGTGTAACAGACATCACACTTTAAAAAGCAAGTATATAAAAATTATATTGTCTGTATAACAGACATCATATTAGTAAAAAGCAAATAATATTTATAATATTTATAAATAATTATGAATAAATTTATAATATATTATAAATTTATAAATAATTTATTAAAATTAGTTATAGATAATTATTTATTAATATAAATAATATGTATAACAAATATTTTGTCTGTGTCAACGGATAACATCATACTAGTAAAGACCAAATTCGTAAAAAATATATTGTCTGTATAACAGACATCACACTTTAAAAAGCAAGCATATAAAAATTATATTGTCTGTATAACAGACATCATATTAGTAAAAAGCATCATATTAGTAAAAAGCAAATAATATTTATAATATTTATAAATAATTATATTATAAATTTATAAATAATTTATTAAAATTATATTTATAATTATAATTATATTTATAGATAATTATTTATTAATCCCACATCTCTCAATTTTAATAATTTTGAAAATTTTGATTTGTTATCAAAACTATTATCTAGAATAAACAAATCATAGTTAACTGATTTCTAGAAAAGAAGACAAGATAAGAAAAATATACAAACTAATATCATTCAATTATACATTTTAAATAAAATGGAGCTCTATCATAAAATATTGCATATTGGATTCCGTGTATATGTTGTGCCTAAATTATACTGAAAGGCAGAGAGAGAAACAGGCTATAGTACATTGTAACGAATTGCTATTAATATTATGATGGCGAAGTCGAAGTCGCATGTAAAACGAAAGAGTCGGGAAATACTTTGGATAATTAACAATGATGATGTGAACGAGACATCGATTTCAACTAATTTACTCTTATTTGAACACCAAGTTTTTTTCTTTCTTCCGCTTGACCGCTTTGCGCATAAATAATCAAGCTACAGCGGCTTGTCCGACGCTTTATCGGAGAATTAAATCGTGAATTAAAAATCCACGTGTCTTCGGCGGTAATCGGCAACGATCACGAATGTCAGTGACTATCATCGAATGCGTAGGTTTATGAAACTCAATAGTCCATAAATATAATCCAAAAAGTATTAAAAGGATCCAGCGCTTGCGACAATAGACATTATTTTATTATCTGGTCATTATTGATTCATTAATTTTTATATCAACGATTTTTAAATAATTTCTGATGAAACAAAATTTGTGTTGTATTTTTTATAATCTTTGTTGTAGAGAAGTTATTTTCGTGACTTTAATCAAGTATAATATAAGTTTAATGAAAGAGAAATGATTGCAAAATCAATTTTTTGGAAAATTTTGAAGACTTGCATAAAAGAATTAGTTTATTTTATTTTATTTTTATCGGTAATTTGACTTTATTTTATTTTATTTTAAATGATATGAAATATCATAAATATTATGGATTATCTATAAGTATCACAAGACAGAGATTTTATTTAAAAAATTATATATCAGAGGATTGATTAATTTGTATATAAATATTAAAATTAGATAGAAAAAACAACTTGTTTAAATTTATTAAGAAGTTTATTCAAACAAAAATATTGTATCTACCGCGACTTATTCATTTGAAGTAAGAATCGAAAGAGAGAAACAGTATGAAAATTTTAATCTGTTATAGATATATTTACGCGAATTGCAATTATTTCTTTAGCGATTTTCCTCGATATACGAGTATATTATCTCGAATACATTATATCTTGCATCGCACAAAATATTTCTTATTGATATATACAATAATTTACACAGATTCTTATATCTTTAAAACATACATTTTAATACAGAGTGTCATTCAATTTGTCAGCAGTTATTAAATATAAGTTATTTTTATCTATAGATAATCATTGATTGATATTCTGTCCATTAGTACAGTAATTATATTCCGTTCAATCATAAATAGCTATAGTTTCACTGATAACGTCGCTATTAGTGGTTTATAATATAATGTATAAAGCCTGTTATCATTATTAATACTGAATTTGAAGTAACACATCATCATCGAATAATTTAGATAATGGAAAGCGATGATGCATATCTTATTAATAATTAAATTAATAATCAAAATATCTATTAATAATCAAAATTAGGAATTTGAATAATAAATGAATATTCAATCAAAAATATATACAAGGAATATTTATATTGATATAAAATAATATTAATATAAAATAATTTTTGGAATGACAACAAACCGGCTGGCGCGCGGCCTCGACTTGGTTTGTTTACACGCCGTATGTACGCGAGTCTTTCTATCATTCGTTTAACGAGACTCAAGCTGGTAGTAGCAGAAGCTTTGTATTCTTTCTTGAAACGCGATCATTCTTTACGAACATTTAGCAATTACGATTAATCAATTCTAATCGATTAAATAAATGCCAGAAAATGTTTCGCGCAACTTATTCGTTAAATAGAAGCGATAAAGAATAGAAATTATAAATTACTAATATATGATATGTTTAAGTCCGACAGTAAGAACTTTTAGTGAACTATATAAACTTTTTGCGAGTGTGTGTGTGCAACGTACCCTCTGACGACCCTTCAACAACCTAAGAGAAGGAGAAGACTTCGAGACATCGAGTTCGCTGCTGGAGTAATCTTGGGGTGAGTAATATTTATTATATAATAATTTTAAAAATGTTCTTTTAATATTTTTTATACAATAATATTTCTTTATATTAAAAATCTATAATTCTCTCTATAAAAATTTATATACTTGAAAAGAATAGTTTTCCAAAATTTTAAAAATTCATTCATAAATATTTGTTTATATTGTATCGAATACCGAATAAAATTCAGTAATAATTTTTTTGAAATATTAATAATTTTGGATAATAATATTAACCCTTTAATCTACAACTACGTGTGAGACACGTGATCTTGTATTCGGGCCAAAACTGATTATCATGGGCATGGCCCCTGGTACAATGATCGGGCCAAATGTAAATATCACCTTTTGTGGTATATCTACCACAATTATTACATCAGGTTGTAATTACTTATCAAATATTCCACAAAATTAAATCAGTTGTATCTTACACATGTATTTACATTCCGTTTTGGACCCAGGCTGTTGGAACGTAAATCGTAGGTTAAGAGGTTAATAAAATTTTTTTCAAACATTAATAATTTCGTTATAATTTAATGATGATTTTTGATGAGTTTTGATTTTTAGTTATTATAGTATTTAGTTATCATAGTTATTATAGATCAACGTAGAGTTTCAATTATTGCGCATCGACCAGTGAATCGCAAATTTTTAGTTTATAATAAAAAATGCTAACTGCATAGACTACTTTATCTTCTATTCTATTATTATATTCTTTTAATTTTTTACTTTTTTAAATTTCTATTTGTCGCACACAAATGTTTAGACGGATTTTGGCGTACTTGGCGTGCATTTATCTGCCTCATCTATTTATTAAAAAGATTTTACTATCACGCCACGTTAAAAATACGCAAAAAAGAAACTCGAGGACTTGATATATGCAACTTACATGTGCGCCAAATGCACGACAGCTACGAATATACGGCGCAGATACTCGGCGAGGATCTCGCGCGCTCGCACGGGAAACTTTCTAATGCCTGCATTAATATTTTTGTGCCTGGGAGCTAGAGCCGGAGTTGCGTCAAAAGGTCGGGCGCTCGCAGTTTCTTGCACGCGCGCCGCAAAACGGCCGGATATGGTACATCGAATTTAACAGCGAGAAAGAAACAGAAAGAAAAAGAGATGATACGATATTCCATTCCATCGCATAAATATTATTTCGATTGAATTCGTTCGCGATTAGCATTATTGCCCAAAGGAGCAAAGATTCCCCCTCGATTTGCAATCAGTCATTTTGATCACAAATGATAGATTAATATATTTATTTACTTAGATGGCGATAAGATGATTCTTTTATCTTTCCATGTTTAATACGAATTTTTCGAATCTTTATCAGAAAAAAATTTATTAATTTATTAATTTATTAATTTAAGAATTTATTAATTTATTAATTTAAAAATTTATTAATTTATTAATTTAAAAATTTATTAATTTTCCTTAATTTTTTCAGAACGTAATATTTTATACTAATATTAGTTATTTTTATTATTAATTTCATTTGTGCATCAATTATCGCGTGCTGGTTCTATTATCTTTTTTTACATCAAGAGAGAGTTGATTTTGATTAATATATCATAAGAATCTTTCTTTCAATTTTAATGTTAATAATTGTTTAATTTTTTTTATAAAATGTAACTCTTTGTAAAACATATTATGTATTTCGTTTTTTTTTCCGAGAGTCATTGTCTTAAGATCTTCGCATCCAGAAAAACTCTGGGATCTTTGTTCTGGAATTTCGCAGACTGAAATTCCCGAGGCGTTTCGCGCTCATCTGCGGCTTCGCGATCGCGAATTCCGTTAGCGCTAAATCGGGGAGAAAAATGTCGATGACTCGGGAAATCTGATCCTGATTTCTTGCCGGTCTGGAACGAAGAGGCAACGGCAGCATCCGATGTTCCCGTTGAATTAGCAACGCGCGCGCGAGAAAATTGCACGCCTCTTACACGTCGGCGGAAGGTCATCACTGGGACGTACCCGTTCGCGAAAAGAGGTAAGATCGTTTCATTTCAGATATATATCTATCGGTAATTGTCCTTGATAACGGGAATGCGTGTAACGGGGCGGCCTGATATACTATATATCGCTTTGTTCCCCCGCAGGATCACAAACTCTATTATCGATATACGGCACGGCATTTCATCGAGCAGCGGAATTCAAAACGCCCACCTTCCAATTATCTTTCCGAATTAGATTCGCTCTACAATTACTTTATATCGCACGCAATAAATATATCATAATTGGATACATTTATATCTAAACAGTATACATATATAATTTTTTATACACGAATGTGTCATTCATTTTTTTAGAATCTATTAATTATTAATAAATTTTAGAATAAATATTAAGAATTATATAATTATATATTTATAATAATAATAATTATTATTAATATTATTATTATTAATATTTATTCTAAAATTTATTAATAATTAATAGATTCTAAGAAAATGAATGACACATTCGTGTATAAAAAATTATATATGTATACTGTTTAGATATAAATGTATATAATTATGATAAAATTATAAAATTATATATTTATTATAAATATCAAAAATATTAATATAGCTATATAAATAAAGATTATTAATATATTAACATAAATTAAAAGAGAAACTTGTGTCTTAAATATTATATATAGTATATGTCTAATATATAAATTTATATAAATATTATAAATTAAATATTAAATATTAAATAATTATTAACATAAAATAATATTTTAATAAGTATGGCCATATTTCGCGTATTTCCATTTGACATTAAGTTACAACTAGATTTGCCGGAGAGGCAGGCATTCATTAATTTCACAGGGCGCTCATTAATTCTACAGCCATTGCACAACACATGCACCTGAACACGACGATATTTCGATTCTGCTCGTTTACCGGATCGTTTCTCGCGCCGACGAGAGATATGATATACGACGCGACGGTCTACGTAAACGGTTATTAGCGCGACGTTTAATTAACGCGCGGATAATTAGCCGCGACAGGGATTTATCCCGACTTGGCAAAATCTCGCGTTCGCGAAATTTCCCCATTTTTGCCACTTCTCTTTTTCTCTCTTTTTCCTCTTTCCTTTTTTCCCCCGTCTCGACTCGAGCGCGATTCATTTAATCATCGCGCGATTTCTATCGAGAACTCGTTATGATCTCTTGCAAGCTCTCTTATCGTCGTCTCCATCTTCCGGCGAGATAAACCTCCATCACGTGGCTCAATATTTATTACAAAATATATTAATAATTACTCGATAAACCTCTGGGGCAATAATAGATAACCTCACATTGAAATTAAATGAAAACTCGAGGCGATAATCTGCCAATCATTGCTCTCTCATGCTTGGCTCTCGTTCTGCCGCGAATTATAGCGCGAGACGATAATTACGTGGCGTAAATCACACTTAGCGCTATTTTCTTATTAAAGATTTCCTTTCTTCATGAGAACCAATTTTAAGATGGAACGATTGAAAATGAAACGTTTCTCAGAAACTTAAGTCTCATAATGAAAGAGAAGCTGAGATCGAATGGAGCAAAATCTAATTCCTCTTTCAACTTCAAATGAACTTCATTTTAACGAATTGTATTCCTCTTTCAATTTCAAATCAATTTTATAAATAATGATAATTAATAGTTTTAATAATTAATAATAATTAATAATTTTAATAATTAAATGATAATAATAATAATTTTAATAATTAAATAATAATTTTAATAATTTTAATAATTAAATAATAATAAATAATTTTATAAATAATAATAAGTTTAATAAAATTTCGTGTTAATGAGTCTCGAAGAAATATAAATATATAAAATGTTAAAAATTTGCAATTTGCGATAAATGAATTTTTTTCTATAGATATTCTTTCGTTCCGCTCAAATTTCTCAAGGAGTTTATATAATTGAAAGGAACAGCTATCAAATATTAATCAAATATCTTTAAATTTTCTATCACGAAAAAATTAATCATTTTTATATTCCAATTTTATTTTAAATATGTGAAGTCAAATTTTAAATAAAATCTATTTAACCGTAAATAAGCTCGTAAAAAAATTACGTTATTGCACAAACCACAAGCAACCTAGTAGAATTCTGCTATCATTCAGTGTCACCGATCTTCGTGATCTTACGGGAGATTAACGTCTTCCTCTTTCCCGTTAATATCGAAAGCCGCGGAGGGATACTCGCGAGCTTTTACATAAGCGCGATAAACCTCATCTCGGGTGCGTTTAGGCCTTAATTAGCGGACCCCCCGGTACGTAACCGGCATGTTCCGATATATCGGCGTAAACGCGTTTTACGGCGGAGAAAGTCGGTTACATATACATATATTTAATAAGCAGCGGGAAATCCTCCTCTCCTCCTCCCCCCCTCCCGAGTCGCCCCTTCCCCTCGTCCCGTTTTTCAGCCCTCGCGATCCGGGGACAGGCTCGTATATCTCGCCCCGATATCTCGACGCGCGATGTATTTATGGGCCTGCGAGAAGAGGATCGGCTCATTATCATTAGCGGATCTCGTAATTGTGCGTCTGTCGTGTAAACGTCCTCTCGCGAGAAATCGAGCGGCGAGGATAAGAAAGGTTCAAAAGATTCTTGCGACCGCGGGCTCTTGATACATTTTTTTTTTACATCCTCCGCCGAGAATCGAGGCTGAAGGATTCCGATTAAAATATTTACGGCGCGTTAATCGTGTCGATTCCGAATCGTCCCGCAATTGTTATCAGTCGCCTCGCATGAAATAAATCTCGGTTTGAAAAATAAAGGAATTAATAAAGATAAATAGCTTGTGATTTTTTTGGGACTTACTTGTGTCAGTCTTGTATAATTTATTATCAGGATTTATTTCGAAATTTCTTTAATTCATTTATTTCATTTCATTCATTTAATTTTTTAATTCATTTATTATCTGGAATATTTAAAATATTCCCAACAACAATCAGCTTTGTCTCTCATATCTAGGTTCCTTCTCCATTTCTTTTTGTCACTCAAAGTGTAA